CTGTCTGCAGTATCTGGGCTGAGCCCATCAGGCAGGAAACAGGACACCTGTTCAGGCAGGATGATGGCCTGGCTGCTTTAATTACTGTGAGCTGGTGTCAGTGATGTGTTTATAACAGATGTTTCTCTGTCTGTCCTGCAGTCATGCGTGTCACTCCAGGCAGAGAGTTTCAGTCCTGTGTACCAGAGAAGGTAAGCCTTCTTCTTTTATCCCTTACTTACTGATTTCTCTCAAATCAGTGTGTTTGTAGAAGCATGTTAAAGTCGACGTGTTTAACTTTTCCCTCACAGTCTGGTGGTGGATGCTCATAAAATAATTATGAGGTCAATAATGGTGCGCTAAGGTTTTTTTTCTGCTCTGGCTCTGCATGATGTCACAGAGAGCATCTATATCGTTATCTCTGATGTTCCAGCCATTCAGGGTTTGACTTATAAAGGATGGAGCTAAAAATGCCTGTTTTTAAGGGGCTGTGCAAAGGCCCAGTGTGAGACAAAGAAGTGTGATTTTGAAGCTACTGTAGTTGAGTTGAAGAGTCAAACGGAGGCACTTTGCATGAGCAGGAGTAGATCAGCACTGTCACTCCTCCTGCTACCAACAGATGGAGCTCAAATTTAAAAGTTTAATCTCAAAAACTGTCAAAGCAGCCACATTCAGTCACAGTCACTTATACAGCGTTATGTATGAGGTCCAGCTGTTGATCAGCATCAACAGCTGGACCTGCACTCAAGGTTTAAGTGTAGTTTGGTATTTTGGAGTTCAGCCGTCCAGCTGCTGTCTGACAGATGTTGACTGTCAGATTACAGAGATGGTCAGCTCCTGACCAATTATACCGCGTTCTCTGTCACAACCTGCAGGTTGTCTGTAGGTTGACTGAAGCAGACATAACAATTATAGATTGTATAAACCACACCGTGAAGCAGAGGCCTCGCCATTTTAAAGCCTGAAGTGACGATCTGTTAGTACAATTAACCACACACCAGATATATCAATATTATTATTATCAATATTATTATTATTTATCAGATAATTGCATTAAAAATGCTTCAAAAAGGCTCCAACTGTACAAACACAGCTCAGGAACTCAAGTCGCCGTCCTGCTGTCAGCCAAAGAGGCCACGCCCCCACGAATATAACTTTAATAATTAACACGGCATCAGAGACCAAAGCCGTTTTCTGTATTAGGCTGTAAACATGTTTGTTTCTGGTGTAAAGTGGACATTTAACACGGGAGTCTATGTGGGCTGTTGCCCTTTTGGAGCCTCAAGTGGACGTTGGAGGAACTGCAGGCTGTGAGGTTGCTGGTTGGCTGTGACGGCTCATCATAAACAAATCCAGTTTGTCTCTTTGTTGCTGTCAGAGTGCGGTCTACGCCAGGCGGTGGGCCTTCACCCTCACAGGAAGAAGCGGATTCTGGGTGGCCGGGTGTCCCGGCGGGGGGCGTGGCCCTGGCAGTGCTCGCTGCAGAGCGGTCAGAGCGGACACGTCTGCGGCTGCGTCCTCATCGCCCGGAAGTGGGCTCTGACAGTCGCACACTGCTTCGAGGGGTAAGGCTTCAGGGTGTGTCGTCAGTGAGCCACATTTTATTTTAACCTCACACACTAACGGTGTGTGCGTCACAGGAGAGAGAGTGCAGACCTGTGGAAGGTGGTGCTGGGCATTAACAACCTGGACCACCCAGGAGCTCACAGTCAGAGCCGAGGGGTGCGCTCCATCATCGTACACCCGCGCTACAACCGGGCGGTGGTGGACTACGACATCAGTATAGTGGAGCTGGACTCTGAGGTCAGAGCGTGCTGCTGCACAGGATCGAGTATCAGCTGTAATCGCACTGGACTGATGAGGCGTGTTAATGTTTGCAGATTGAGGAGACGACCTTCGTCAGACCGGTGTGTCTTCCTCAGCCGGGCCAGCTGCCTTTACCCGACTCCTACTGTTACATCACCGGCTGGGGTCACATGGGCAACAGGAGTGAGTACACACACACTTCACTCTTTGGCCGTATCCTAACCTTAGACTAAACTCGCTTTTTGTACTTGCAGCACAAGTAGGCACGCACACACTTTGTTTGTTTGAAACACAAATCTTTCAATCATTTTTCGTCTACCAGAGTTTTATTCTCGTCACGCAGAGTCGGTGCATTTAGACTTTGCAGAGTCCTGCTCTCTGTCTTCATCTGCTGGTTGAAAAACATCAGGCTGGCAGCTCTTTTTGAAAGCAGAAAGAATGAGCCGAGTCAGAGAGTTTCTGCCCTCATTATTCAGATTCACTCTGAGAGAGAGTGGATGTAACTCAGTTTCTCATGCTGCTCTGTGCTCAAGCGCTCTAAATCTAGACTCCATCACCGCGAAAGTTACATAAACTTGAAATCATGCAGCTTGGTTTGAAACTAAAAGAAAGAAAGTGTACTTTATTGATCCCCATGGGGAAATTCCTCTCTGCATTTAACCCATTCACTCAGTGAAGCAGTGGGCAGCCATTGGGCGCCCGGGGAGCAGTGTGTAGGGTACCTGAGGGGAGCTGTTCAGGGGAATCGAACCCCGACCTTCCGATCATGGGGCCACCACTCTACCTACTGAGCTATCCCTGCCCCCTTTCCTGTCCCTGTCTTGAAACTACAAACCTTTCCTGGATGCCGCATCCAGGAAAGAGTTTAATGAAACTGATGTTTCATTAAACTCTCAAACTAGTTTCATTCATTTCAGATTAGCTAGCAGTTAAGCAAGAAGACTCTTCGCGTAGTTTACCAAAGATATTGTGTGGATTGAAATGTGACGAGCTCGGAGCGCGTCTGGTCTCACTGTTGCACCCACACGTGTGTCACAGGACCGACGCCGATCCTGGGAATGCTCCAGGCGTGGCCGGGTCGCGTTCCAGCTCCGATGCAGCTGCTGCAGCTGGTTGTTTCCACTCAGGAAAATATTTGAGATTCCACCAGATACACACCAGCATGTTTCAGAAGGGTCACACAGGTGGCTCCAAAAATAACACCAAGTCTATCGTTTTTATCCTATTTTCACCTCAGTCTCTATAATCATAATCATAATCTGCCTTTTCACTCAATTTAAGTGCTCAAAATGCTTTCTACTCCACGTCTCAATCACCTAATCCTGCACTCATGCAGTGATTTTATGTACGCCTAGGCAGCTTTTACATTTACACACTTAGACACCAGTGGATGCATCAGGGGCAACTCGGAGTTCATTTTTATGTCCAAGGACACTTGGAACTAACAAAACGACATAAAAGACGTGCTTTTGTTAGTCGCCAAGAGCGTCCTCCGTGTGAAAACAGCGCTCATTCCTTCTGATCTTTGAGCTTTAACGTCCTTTGAAAGGAAAGCTCAGAGTACTTCGAGAGCCTGAGCACTCTTATTATATTTAAAGCCTCCTCTTCATCCTGTGTGTTTGTGTGCAGTGCCCTTTAAACTGCAGGAAGGGGAGGTCCGGATCATCTCTTTGTCTCAGTGTCAGTCCTACTTCGACATGAAGACCATCACTCCCAGAATGCTTTGTGCCGGCTATGAAGCTGGAACCGTCGACTCCTGCATGGTAACATCTGCACCAGTCCAGCATGAAGTACCGAGGCCACACAGTTTCTCAGTGTGTGTGTGTTTAACGTGTGTGTGTGTTCAGGGTGACAGCGGCGGCCCACTGGTGTGTGAGGAGAGCAGCGGTCGCTGGACGCTGTTCGGCCTGACGTCGTGGGGCAGCGTGTGCTTCAGTAAAGTGCTCGGACCCGGGGTTTACAGCAACGTCACGCACTTCACCCCCTGGATCCAACAGCAGATCTACATCCACACATACCTGACCGACTGACACATACGCTCACTCACCTGACACTTCCTGCTCCAAGCTCTCATTCATTCCAGAAGGAAGTGATGTCATCATCAGCCACAACGCACGTTCAGTTCCTTAACCTGTGCCTATACTGATAGCCTTCAGACGCTGTGTGAGCAGCAGCTGATGTTGTCGGTGATTGAAAGTTACATCCATACAATCAGTCACTGAACTCTGATCTTATTGTTTTCATTACTCGACACATTCAAACCTACAAACATCACAGAAACAAAAACATAACCTCTGTGACGGTTAACCAACGCTCAGTGCTTCATGCTGGACTTTATACTAAGATACTTTTAAATTATGTAGTTCGAACCAACCGTTAAACTTCCTGGGGCTGAAAAAACGACGAAGCGTCAAAGACGGCAGTTCCTCTGCTGGGCTTCATCTCAGCTAACTGAAGTCACAGAAAACACCCAGGACACTTTCACTTTTCAATTCAATTTATTTCAGTTCAACTTTATTTATATAGAACCAAATCACAACAACAGATACATCAAGATGCTTTATATTGTAAGGTAAACAGTAAAGTCTGTTTAAACTCTGGTTAAACTCCATCATGAGACATTCAGCAGTGGTTTCATTTCACAGCTTTTGCTTCTGTCACAAACTACACTATCCTCACACAGACCTAACAACTGCTCAAAGAAGTGTATCCCCAGATCAGCTGGTGAGTGGTTACTGGAGTTGGATGGGTGAAACTGGTTAAAAAGATGCTGCTCAAAACCTCTAGTTTGACCAGTTCAACCAGTCCAAGCCAAACAGATTGCAAAGGTTGCATCGAAGCTTGTCTGCAACTGCTCACCAAGCAGAAGGAAAACGTAAAAGTGTGATGTTTGACGTGCAGTCGGCGAGTAGTTGCAGGTTGGAGGTTGCGAACCAGCCTCCAGGCCTGTGTGAGAGAGGACTTAGAGCAGTAGTTCAAACTCAACATTGTGATGTTCATGTGTATCAGATGGCACATGGTCTGTTACTCCATAAACTACTTTTTCAAACTTTAAATCAGCATTAAAGCAGAAAAACTCCATTTCACAGTCATTTTCTCCGGCTACTTTGCCAGAAATACTCCTCAAGATTTCTGAAGAACATTGTCTTAAGGAGGAGCTAAAACAGCTTGTTTCAGACATGGCCCAGTATAAGTTAAAGAAGGATTATTATAAAGTGTGACTCATGCACAGCTACTCTAGAAACATCAAGGAATACATATATGGAGCTGGAAATGAGCAGGATAGATTCACTTACTTACCTAACTCATTAATCCCTATTTTAAAAATTATTTAATAACAGCAATTAACAGATTAATGATAGTTTTGCAGCTGTGATACAAAATTGTGTTTGTGTTAAACATCCTGTAAGCAGAAGCTAAATCTGCTATTTCAGAGAAGATTGAGGACTGTTTCCCGGACAGTAGCTGTGAAACCGAACATTTTAATGATATTAAGGCGTTTAGCGCTGAAGCTGCTAAAACAGACCAGCCGAGCACTCATTTTCCCACAATGCTTCACTCTATAGTGCCTAGCAGTAAAAAAAAAAGAAACAAAACAAAAACAAAAACAAATTTGTTACTTGTACAATGTCGTACTGTACGTGTGTGTGTGAGTGTAAGCTGCTGTGTGAGCGTCAGAAAGTGCTTCAAACCACACTGGCAATTTATATCGGGCAACTTTGATGGTCAACATGTAACTTTGTTCTCGCGGCTGCTAGTTACATTTATTTTCTTTCAGACAGAAACCTGTAACTGACCCCCCCGACCCCAGTCGTGCTGTATAATGGCACATGAAGATGTAACACAAGCTTTATTTTTGTATATAGCATACACCGATGTAGTTTTAAGCTGTGTTTATTCATGTTTGTTTACGATAATGAAAAATCAGAGGTGAAGTTAGAACAATGCAGATCATTAGCCTTTAAAGTTTCTGGCTTACAGATATATCGTTAGTAACGTAAACAGTTAATAACACGCTTATTATAAATGATAAATCAGGGGACTTGAAGTAAAGTTTTACCCAGTTTTTATCTAAAAGTAACCTAAATGTTCATCAAAGTGGATAAAGCGCAAAAAAGCAAATATTTAAACTGCCTGTGAAGTATAACTTTAATGTATTGCTAATGTGGAAACATTAGTGTTAATCCAAATGTTAACATAAGACTTATGAGCTTTATCTCATGTATCAGACGGTCAGACTGTAGTTTAAAGCTAGCAGACTCACTAACACAAACGATTAACTGCCAAATTAGCGCCAGCTAGATTACGAAGCACAAATGTAGCACAGTATAGAGCGTTTAATGATGTGTTTTCATAGCGTTAGCACTAAGCTACATTAGCTTTTGCTGTGTATTTACAAGCCGTTTAGGTCCAACTGTTCAACAGTAACAGTTTTCACACCGTAGCTGAACTAGAAGGAGGAAAAAAGTTATTAAGACTTCATTAAAACTCACAACAGACGGTTTGTTTGCAGTTTACGTGTCTTGACGGCGTTTTTTTAGATGACTCTTCAAACATGGAGAGGGTTGGGGGAAAAAAATGGTTGAATTTTCTTTGTTGCAGTACTCCGAGTGATCACCGGGGTGTTGCCTCTATTTACATACACATGTTTACCACATTTATGCTTTAAGCTAACTGCCTCACACTGAATTCACTGAAATATTAATGGTAACTGTTTTTGTTTGTTTGCCTCATATGTGTGACAAAAATACTCACACAGACAGCAAAGAAGCATCAATACAACAGAGTAAAACCCTAACTCATACTGAGGCCTCAGTCACACAGGCCTAGAGACACTCAGCAACCTCTGGTCACAGGGGGAAACGTGTATTCCTCAATCGGTTGGCAAGTGGTTGCTAGCTGTTGCCAGGTGAAATCAGTCACAACAAAGGTGAACCACCAAAAATGTCCACGTGATGGTTGGTTGTTAGCAGTTTGCAGTGACTCCTTCTAATTTGTCTGCAAGACATATTCTCATTTTTCCCTGGCACACAGTGGTTGCCCGGTGGTTGCCAACCAGTCTCTAGGCCTTGTGACTGGAGCCTTAGACTTCTGGGAGATCTGGTGGAGCTAGTGGACATGCAGGCGGTGATTCCTGTTTTTCTCCACCAGAGGCTCCAAAAGGCTGAATGCTGGTCATAATACACCCTGCAGTTATCTGGGCTTTTGTTTCAGAAAGCAGGTTTAGTGAAAACTCTGAGTTTGTTAAACCTGAGACATAAGTTTAAAACAAAGGTGGAAATGTTTCACTCATCGTGTCCACTAATGAATAATTGGAGGCTGTGAATTTGTTTCACTTGGCGAGATCAACATTTTAGCACTTCTCCCCATTTTGACTCCCTGTTAACCCAGTGGAAGAGTTGCCCAACGAATTGCCCCGTTGACCTTCTGTGCTGAGGTCGGACTCACATCCAGAACATTCCAAGTTGCTGCTGCTGATGTTGTTTTGTGTGTTTGGTTTTTTAAGAGTATTTTTCTACAGCGTTTTGTATGTCATGCTTCTTACACAGGGCTGTCAGTGTGTGTGTGTATGTGTGTGTGTGAGCACACAGTCACATGTACGGACTGTGTGTTTGTTTCTTCCTGATTTAGCTGTTATGACTTTGTTATCATGATGATGATGATGAGTAATGTTTGATTATATGGATTCAAATGCTTTATGGACAGACTGTAGCCTTTAATGTTTGTGTAAACAGTGAATATTTGGTTTATATCATCTTGTATCACACTAATAAACGTATACACACACTCTCTCCTCTGTGTGTGTTTGACCTAAAGTGCTCTAAACGCAAGTCATGAAAGGTTTGTCGAGGGTTATGTTTAGATTAAGTAATGTGCGACTGCATATGTGACTCACGGCGTGTCTGCAGAGGCGTCACGTCTCTTTCCACTTCCTCTAGTCCAGAAAAAGAGATAAATAATGGAGATGTTGAGTGTCAGAAGTATCTTTAGATGGAGATTAAATAGAATGTGCTCAGACTGGAGAACTGTGCTCTGGTAATAATAAAAAGCCTTAAAAACACACTTTGGTTTAGTTAAAGACAAGCACCGTCCCAATAGGCTTGCTACACAAACAGGTGCACATTTTTATCAATTGTGCTTCCTTCAAAAGCTGCCTGGAGTTAGTTGTGTGGGTTGTAGAGGGTCCCTTCCCCAATAAATAAAGACAGAGAAAGTCTGTTAGCTGACAAAGACTGAGCACAGAAACCACACTTCAACTGCAATTACAATGTGTGAATGTGTTGCTTTGCTTACAAAGTATTTCAAACACAAGCTCAGTGATAACAAATATTCTCTAAAAACCCAGGAGATCATTTAAATCCAAGCAAACTGTCTATGAACAGATGAAACCCACGACTCCGAGTGTGCTGCAAAGATCCCACCAAGAACAGAGGTGGAAATAACCTGAAGAAGGTACCACAGAAAGAGACGGCAGTGGGGGTGTCATCATTGCTGTCCTGCAGTAAAAAAATATAAACATATGAAGCATTGCTCGTTTACTCGCAGTGTCAGCGTTGTCTTTTTCCATTACATGCTTTATAGACTGTATAGATAATGCCTACGACTGAAGTAGGCAGTACTTTGATTTTGCCTGGAAGAGTCGAATAATCCATAAAACCCATGAGAGCACAACCAATCACAACACACAAATATCGTTTCCATGCATGGATGTTTTCAAACTGAAATGAAAATGCAATTATCATTTCACTTTCACATTCTGGGTGTTCCTACATTCACCCATCTACCGGATATATAAAAATGTGGTATTTCTTATCAAATATTTGTGTACGCCATATAGACTCACTCACAGTGGACTATGTCACAGCAAACAAAGAGCAGAGAGCCAAGAGCGACAAAGGTCCCTGCATTTCCGTTGTTTCTACCATCGGGTATAAAACACCAGGACATGACCACAAGTTGAATTCAAACATAATACAATATGCACAGTCATGAATACGCTGACAGTGGTGCTGGTCACATCGCAGGCGCTACATGGAGTCACTACATCAGTCTAAATGAACAGGTTTGCAGGTCCGGGTCACTGCTGTGTGCATTTAAGCAGAGATGCCCAGACTGTTGACTTACAAGGAAGCACCTCAGCTGGGAGGCATCCACGAGGCATGATAGTCAGGTCCCTGAACCACTTCAGCAGGCTCCTGTGGATGTGGACAGCCTTCAGAGGCAGCTCATACCTGCAACCACAGCTCACAGACAGAGCAGATCAATCAGTAAATCAGCAGCTTTGCATTCACATTCAGGTCTCTCTCGATCACAGATAGTTACAGTGCCCACATTACTGCAGACGCTGCACCGATCCATCCACCAGTCTCCTCCTTTCTCCCTCGCTCACAAACCCCAAGATACTTAAACTCCCTCATTGGGGCAGCATCTTACTCCCAGTCCAGAGTGCTGCCGCCGTCCTGTTGTTCACATCCTCAGTCTGGTAACCGCTGATTCTCCAAGCAAACATCTCAAACAAAACAAAGTAGAACGTCCAAACATCTTGTCTCACTTGGCGAGCATCACAAACAGTATTCGTCACAACTTCCTGACTCTTAAGAAGATAATACCCTGATAGTTTAATAGTTAGTTGCAGAAGCAAACCACTAATCCTCAGATACGGCGTGCGTGCACAGGTGTGGTTTTTGGATCACAAAGCAGTGGTTTCATCGCACCTCTCAGCTCTGATTTAACTCCTCACATGAACATTTCAGTCTCTACAAAAAGGTCAAAGCCGGCCGTCACCTCAGCACCTGCACGCGGCGTGTTAACGTCAGGCGTCCAGTGTAAATGTGCAGTCAGTGCTGCATGTGCGCACACACGGAAACACACCTGCTATTATGTGTATGATAATGTTTGTGTCTGCTGCCCTGCAGCCTGGCATTAATACAGAGGACTCAGGGTTACTGCGACCTGTGTTCCCATAATGCCAGGCTTTACCACGCGTGTGTGTCTGCGTGTGACGTCTGTCATTCTGCACAGCGACAAACACAACAGAGTTAAAACCGTCTGTTGTTAACACGCGGCAGACACTCGCTTCCTCCGTCTCTTGTTGCTGCTTGATGACTAAGTCGCCTGCTGCTCTTTGTTCCAGTCACACAACTTTTCATCAGCTCGAGGTAAGAGCCTGAGAAAATGAGAATAATTCAGCTTTTATGGGTACGTGATGGGAAGTGTGTGAGGTTTCAGTCAGCTGGGACTGGAGGGAACATTTGTCCTTTTGTTTTGGGTTTACGTGGAGATTTCTGTGATGGGCTGAAAAGACCTGAAGTGGAAATGGACAGTAGTTGGACTATACTGCTTGACTTTTGCTTACGCACAATTAATAAAGAGGTGTGTTGATCAAGTACTGAGGCCAAGTATTTATTTTACTTGAAATGCCAATTTTCACATTTTTAAGAGAAAAAACTGCATATTTATATATATGCATATATTATTTATATATATTATTTAAAAAAATAATTTCTATTAGAAATAAGTTAAAGTTTGCCTGATATGTCTTACTCCTACATCACTGTATTTCCAGGTAAAACTGCACATTGTATGTAACTTTGCTTTTCTGAAGGCTTCAGTTATTAGTCATGCAGTAGATTAAGAGATTACAGTAAGGGTGGCGTTAAAGATGAAAGATTTCCAAGTGTAAGCTTTTTCTAATCTGCTAAGTCTGGTAATCTATAGTGAGGATTATCAGCATGTTGACAATAACAATCATCAGCTGGCATTAAAACCTTTGAAGAAGTCACTCCGGGTACTTCTTGAGTTTGGACTTCTTTTCAGGTTCTTGGAGAAGTTTCACTGTTTATCCATCCAAGAGGTTTGTTCAGGTCTAACAGCTGGTGGAGACTCTCAGGTATTTACTCGTTGTTGGAGAGTCACCTTGCAGAGGGTTCAACCCTATAATCATGAGAATCATTAGGGGTCACAGGGGCCAAGGTGGGAATCAAGGCGTGGGTCACTAAAGTGAATTTCTTATGAGTCACTGATCGCCCTACAGTCATGTGAGGCATTGAGGCATTAGGAGCGCATTGGCTAAGGTGTGAGTGGAGATTAAATTGGATGAGAAGGGATCTCAGGACAGCATTAAGTGGAATTTCTGGTGAAGCAGAGGTGGTGCGTTCACTGTCCACCGTAGTCTTGGGATGGCCTGTCTGCCTGCAAAAAGCTGATGTCAGATGGAGGCGGTGCACAAATGGAGGCCTGTATGTGGACCGACTAGTGTGTGCGTCACTCTTGCTTGTACTGCTGTTGGTCCATTCATCAACCGCAGAGAAGAGCGAAAGGGTTGCAGCGGGCAGATTTGATTGGTAACAACAATGAAAAGTATCCGTGATTAAAGGTGTTGGTGGGACTAAAGTGCACCTACTTACATGATTACAGGGCGGCTCTGCGAGTCTCTGGGCCGCCTGCATTGTGTCCATGAGCCTGTAGAACTGAAATATCCTCTCAGATGAAATGTGGAACATCTTTGTTAAAATTTTAAAAAGGTGAATGAAACAAGGATTTAGATGAGGATTTTCTGAATGGTCACATAAAGTAAACTGACAGCGTCCATTAAGACGTTTTAAAACATTTATTTGGGTGCTCATTTTGTTCATGACTTCAATGGCATTTAGCATCAAGGACTTTGTTAGTTTGAAATCAGACTTATTTGAAATATTTAAATGTGGCTCCTCACATATATGAGAAGAAATGCGTGATTGTTTCAGATGATGGATGAAGAGGCCACCAAGCGTTACCTTCGGGTGAGCGACGTTGGGCTGCAGCAGGAACAGGCTGAGGTACCACCGACTGTTCACATCACACAAAACATCCACCTATTAAAACCACACACGTGGAGTCACGTGGCCTACAACTTTATCTTTCCTTCTATTTCTGCTCTGACATGGTAAAGAAAACACAACTGCTCCAGCCATCAAA